CAGTATAAGACCATCCTGGAGCGTTTGTGACTTCAAGCCGAAGTGCTGAGTCAAAATGCAGTAGAGGCATAACTGTCCTCTTAACATTTCTCCTATCAGTTAAATATATATCACTTCTCCATTGAAGGAACATTGTTCTCAGAGTGTGAAAGATTCAGCAAGGGCTAGTTTCCAGGGAATTACATTTCAAGTGAGGATAAAGATTATTAATAAAGATTATTAATAATAAATATGTCAGGTCTCCTCTTAGAAAGGCCTAGATGAAAATGTGGCCGTTAGAAGCTGGGATGTGTTTTACTCAAGAATTTTGTTTGTTTCCAGTCTGTTAATATCCTTTGAGAAGTTTGTTGAAATAGAGGTATCTTCAGTTATCTGGGACAGTAACAAAGGACTTCCTGATATAATTACTTTACAGTTCCCTAAAGCCTCCAGTGAATTTTTTCACAAACCTGTTGGGCATATTAAAAGTTTTTGCTGCATTCTTATTCCACACCCCATTTCTGCTATTAGAGTAGCGTAGAGCAATTCTGCAGTGTCAAGGGAGACTGAAGGGATTTCAGTATTAAAGCAGGGCTATACTCAGTGTTTAAATGGTTACCCTTTTATGTGTTTCTGTCCAATTTGCATTTGTGTCCTCTCCATGTAGTCTGGCGCTTGGATTCTTCCTGCCTGGGTTCTGGGCAGGAAAGAGTGTGGAAGTAACATGCAGTGTCCCAGGTAACATGAGTCACGTTGCCAAGGCTGTTGGTGTCAGGTTTTCATGTTTACCTCTTTCCAAAAGGGTGGGTCCTTTGAAGTATATTTTGCAGCTTTCTTCAGATATGTTGCTCTAGCCATTATATGAGCACATTTCTAATTATTTATTTTGGGTCAGAATTGAAAGGTGGCGTCATTATCTCCGTTTACCTGTAATGCACACATTGGGTGAAGAGTTGAGGCCTATGTCATGGTTCAAAGAGGGATTGAGACAGACATAATGGTACACTTCTGTGTAGGATTCTACATGGGGTCCATTTCATAGAATCATAGAGTGGTTTGGGTTAGAAGGGACCTTTAAAGGTCATCCAGTCCAACCCCCCTGCAATAAGCAGGGACATCTTCAATGAGATCAGGTTGCTCAGAGCCCCGTCCAACCTGACCTCGAATGTTTCCAGGGATGGGGCATCTACCACCTCTCTGGGCAACCTGTTCCAGCGTTTTACCACCCTCATCATAAAAAATTTCTTCCTTGTGTCTACTCTGAATCTACCTTCTTTTAGTTTAAAACCATTACCCCTTGTCCTGTCACTACAGGCCCTACTAAAAAATCTGTCTCCATCTTTCTTATAAGCTCCCTTTAAGTACTGGAAGGCTGCTGTAAGGTCTCCCCAGAGCCTTCTCTTCTCCAGGCTAAACAACCCCAACTCTGTCTCATTGATTACGTTATATGTTAATTATCTGAAGGCTAAATCGAAAAACTTCGTATGTATGGAAAGTACAAAATTACCATTGAAGATTAATCCATAAAAAATAGGACAGAGAGCACTGAGAAGGCAATGATACTTCTAGAAATTGATACTGGGCTCTTTCTTGAATCACTGGGGTGGATACTTAGCAATAAAAAAGTATGCCTTTTTTGCTAGTTAAGTGTATGCCTGGTATAATGTTGTGCATCTTGAGTGCTGACATAAGGGCTACCCCCAGCATTTCTGTTGTGTAGGTATTGGGTAGAGAGGTTTTATGTTTGTGTTTCGTGGAATATTTTATTGTTAATCTTTCCCCACATCATCTTGCAGCTCTTCAAGACCAGCGGAGTAGGTCCAGTTGACAGCTGCAGAGGCGATGCAGAACAGCTAGTATTGTGGAAGACATGGTCAGATAACTTGCTTCTGTTTTGATGTCCAAACTAAGGGAAGAACAGAGCAGGAGAAGACAGGGTTCACAGAAAAGGCAGGAAGGGTTCAGGCATGAAGAGCTCGTCATATGAGAAAGACTGAGTAGATTGGCACTGTTTAGAGACCGTAAGAGACTGGAGACGTAGAAAACTCAGAAAAACTAATCTGATGGGCAAAGGCAATCTAGATGCCTCTGCTTACTTTTCCGTGATCACACAAAGTTGATCAATGAAACTGAAAGTCCAAAAACATAACAACTGTAAGGTGTGCTCTGTACCACATCATAGCCTGGAAGTTTGTTGTCACATGCTGTCATTATCTTAGCCAATGTTCCAGAAGAATCCAAAATAGAGGTAAATAATTGAATAATGAGAAGCAAGCAACTGTATCTAATACCTTTAGTTGTTTTACTTATTAAGCTGTGTAATGATTCATGACCAAACCTAACTTCCTGGCAGTAGGAAATGATTTTTTCTAGCAGCTTACATGAAGGGAAAAAAGTACGTCTCCAAAGCTGTTTGGGAAGCTGTTCCCATTTGGGTGGGAGCCCAAAAACTCCCGTTAACTCTCACTTTTAATGTCTGGCTTCTCAGTGTATGGAACATTGGTAAAATGGAAAAACTTAACATGTCTTCCAAAACAAATCTGAAATACATTTGGCAGTTGGGTGTCCGTCTCCACACATCAGCATGCACGGGAGAAGCTGCGCATAGGGAGGCGGTTAGCCCATGAGCTTGAGTCACGATAGAGAAGTGTTTCTATAGCAGCCACCTTTGAGGGAAGGGGAGGATGGAGGTTGTCTAGGGACAGCGTAGCAGTGCCTGCCATGGCTAGAAGGAACTGTTTTGTCCATGACTTGTTGGTCTTTGTAAGTCAAAACGTTAGTACAGAGCTCGATTATGCAGTACTTCAGTTAATGGATGGACTGACAGTTGACAAAGCCTGTATTGCAGCTGACTTAATTTTTTTTTTTAGAATTTCAATTTGTCATTGTCATTGAGAGCAAATAATTTGAATAGAAACTTTCACACTTGCAGGTCAGATTGTTTATCTACTATTTAATACTGAGTGGATGAGATAGTAAGTCTAGGTGATCACAGCCACAAGCTTTAAGGTGGTCTTTTGCAGAAAAATGCAGCCTGGAGTGTGTGATGCAACTTCCAAAGCTGTGTATTTCAACTTCTTTGATTTACAGGCTGTCTTAAAATTTCCCTGCTGGAAGCATGGACCCCTGCATCAGTGAAGTTAAGTGAACTGGCCATAGGCTTGGTTTCTTGAGTAACCCGTGATGGATGCCTTAGAAATAGGCCATGACCCCGCATGATGCAGCAGATGAGAGGTTTAGAGCTCTGACCTGACAGAATCAGTCAGCTGTGAGCAGTGGTAATAAGAGTGATGGGACAGGTTTGTTAGCAAAAGGGTGTGTGGGTGCTTAAACACCAGAGTGGAGGTGCCTGTTTTGTTTGATGATAGGCAACTTGTGACACCCAGACAAAAATTGAAGGAAAACCTACGAGGAGGAAGGTGGCGGGCAGATCTCATCTCACTCAACAGGGTTCCTGTTGCTGTTTTATGCCAACAATTTTATACCAAAAAAATCAAGCCTGAAAGCATGTTGATGGAGAATATATTAAATACATGTCCACAATGCCACTTTGGTCTGGAAAAGGTCAACCCAACTTTAGATTGTGTTCAAAAGGTTTAAGGTACTGCATGAAACAGTAATGGCTTTCTATGTGCTTTGGATATTGAGATTATCTTAGGCTGCTGTTGGGGAAACTGGAGAGAACTCTGAGAACAGCTTAAAGCATGAATATGCGTTGGGTAATCACCTTAGGAAAAAGTTATGAGAGCAGTATGTGCAAACTGACAGCTCTGCTGTGGGGAAAATGCATCACAGCATGCTAATAATAGTGTACATGCTAATAAAGGAGAGAACGATTGATTATAGTTGTTAGGATTGAGTAGTGAGAGGACGTTGAGAAATCTAAGGTTAGTAGAAGGAAACACTTTCTAGTCATGAGGTATATTTGAGCTTCAGAAGTGTCTCACAAGGAAAATGATGGCAGTCATGCTAGTTAGGATATTCAGAAATGAAGCTGATGAATCATTAATAAATGTAGGAACCTGTGTCATGGTGGAAGTGGAGTAAATATTCAAAGATGTCTTGGCCTGTTCAGAAGCTTCAACAAGACAGAGAAAGTGAAAACTGTCTTTCTGTTTTAAAGATGCTATCCATATGTCTCTAACTGTCCCAATACCCTGTTTCAGGTTCCAGATTTCTCTTAAAGCAGCAAATTCCACAGGGTTACCAATGACAGAGAATTTTTTTTTCCCTCTGAATCTTGGGGCAAAGTCATAAAAGGAGGTAACATGAAATTACTATCAAAGTGAACTGCGCTGTGACTTGTTGCTTGTCCTCTGCCTTGCGCTGCTGAAAGTCCTAAGTTTACCATGGTACAAACAGGAGCTCTTTTAAAGCTTCGCAGTTACTTTGGAATTCAGATATTTACTGAATACACTCTAGCATGGGGGGCAGGAATCATCCCCGGCAGTCATTTCTTTCCTTACCACTTGCTGTTTGTGAACAATTATTTGTCTTGAGCCAAATAAAGGTGCATTTTGACATCTCTATGAATTTGTACTATATAATGAATAAAAAGAATGGTTCATGTTTCAAAGTACTTTCATAGGTGGTGTCTTGACTAATACAGAAAATTCTTGCATACAGTGACAATAATTTGCATTTTTAGTGTACGTCCTCAAAGGGCCTATTTGTCGCTTACTTTGAGACTTGACAATGGTGATGCAGTGCACTGAAATCTTAAAATGAAAGTCAGTCAAACTAACTTTAAATCACTTTGCTATTGAGGAAAGGAGTAAGGTTCACATTTTTCTTCAACCTTTAGTGAGTCTGTACCATCCCAATGGGAGTGTCTCTTAGAGTTAGTTCCTGGATGGAAGGCATTAACGGTTCGTTTCATCCTACTCCCAGGTAATGAGGGTGGTATTCTTCTGCCCTTCAGTCCAGCCTGCATCAACGTCTTAGCTACAGGGTATGCTTTTTCTGTCTTCGCTAATGTCTGTATTTGACAGACCTTTCCAATTTTTTTGATGTGATTTCAGCTTCCAAACAATTCGCTGAAGAAGTCTTGAAAGCACACAATGACTACAGGAAGAAACACGGAGTCCCCCCATTAAAACTCTGCAAGAAGCTAAACAGAGGAGCCCAACAGTGAGTTCAGTCCTTTCTTTTCTCTAATGAGATTCGTGACATTTTTATCTGTTAGGTTTGACTGTGCATACTGCAAAAATATTTGCCTTTTGATGTGCTGATACTCAATGGAGACTTATTGGGTGGAAAGTGAGGGACTCGACTCTTTCTGTTTCCTTACCCAACTCTTGTCATGCCTTCTTTCTCCATCACATAGCACCAGCTGGTCACATGGATACTTCTGTGGTCACAACTGTATAAATCTTTCTTGCACCCTTTTCCAGACATGGGCTGCATCTGTTTACACTGGTATGTCTCCTCTGCAGAGGGCAGTTGCCTAAAACATGCTTCACCACCACCGCGGTCAGATGATGGATTGTCATCTGCAGGAGAGTATCCACTGCTGCTGAAATAGTGAGAAAAGAACTTTTTCATGGTAGGAAGTGATGACTGGTCTAAGATCAATGGAATCAGAAGGAAGTAATTTCAGATCAAATTGTCTATCTCCCTGCCCCAAAAGCACAATCAGTGTATGTTGTTCTCTTGTCTGTCAGGAGGGACACATCTTACCTCTTCTGCAGTGCTGAAGGCTGCACAACTTCTTGTTAGTCTAACGTAAAGTGGATCCATCTTCCTGCTGTCTCACTTAAGTCCTCCTTACTGAAATTTGAGTCCAATACTGCTTGTCCTCTTTGCTGTACGCATGACAACCAGATTACTTCTTTTCCCTTTACAGCAACCTTTTTCAAAGTAGATTTGAAAATCTTCAATTTTTTCAGGATGATCCTCACAGTACAAAGCAGATACCTGCAGGAGTAAATAAATGCTGATTAAACTATTCAGAAAACAAACGTCTTTCCATAATAGCTAAATAGTGGCCGGTTTGATCCCTGCAGACATGAGATCTCATCTCCCGTTAGGCTTTCTACCATAACCATGCAGCCTTCTCCACGCCAGCTGGCTGGGAGCCAGAGAGGCTTTGGCCTTTCCAGAACCTGATTTACTGTGCCAGCTCGGTGCTGCACCGTCACACAGATACACCAGCTCCCACACTCCTAGACCAGGTGTTGTGCGGTACAACGCACCGTGTATGTGGCGTGTGGACATGCACTCTGGCAGCAAGCAAAATCTGATTCTGTCATTATTTTTTCACATTTCTTTTTTTCTTGAGGCAGCATGATAACTGGATACAGTATTTCTAAGAGATGGAATGCCAGTGACTCATCCACATACCTTTGTAATCATCTGGGGTTTTCCTTCTGTTCTTCAAAGTGTTGTTTTCATTTCTGTTTTACATGCTGCCTCACAACGAGGAAGAAATTTCGTTGACTTGTCAATAACACTTGTTGTGTCTCCAAAGTGCTACAGTTGGTTTGAACAAGTCAACTTGTATAAATAGTTCAGATTATTCTGTCAAATATGCATTGCTCCACATTTATCTCCAAGGGTGCTATTGCCCCTGCTGAGTATTTTTAGGCCCTTCTGGAATTCCTCACAGTCCTCTCTGGTCTCAGCTGACTTTCCCCACTGTGGTGAATAACAATAGGAAACCTTTGGTTGCAGTCTGTAACTTAACTTGTAAGAATTAAGAAACACATGTTCAGAGTCTGGTGAGACTGGTTGATAGCAAGAACCAGAAATGGTTTGATCTGAATAGAAGACATGAAATATAAGAGATCTCTTATTTGTCAGGACAGATTTTGCATAATCTTAAATTCAAAGAAGGACTTCACCCTTTCTTTAGGTATATCTGATATCTTTGTTGATATGTATCTGGTGTATCTCTGGGTACTTTTCTGTGCTTCTCTATCTGTGCTGAAAATGGTCTGTTTCCTACTATTTTCAGTTCCAGTAATTGCGACAGGTTAGATGAACTGACTATTGGATCCCTGCTTTAGCATGAGATGAGTCACCCTCAGCAGGTGTCTGTTTATCTCTGACTGTAATGAAGCATAGGGTGATGATCTCAGATGCAAATCTCATGCTTTCAACTGCCTGAGCTAGAGTGAATTAATCACCCTTTGTCTCAAATCCTTGGCAACTTTATCCGTGTGTAATGTGTACTTTGTTCCAGTCTTGCCTCTTGCTTGGGATGTGGGAATCCTTGAAGAGAAAAATTACAGGACTGTAGTGATATAGGGCATGAAGGATCATCTAGAGATCCTCTAGTTCAGGATCTAGCAGACTGACAACTGACAAGTTTTCATTATTTCTGAATTGATGGATGTAGCTAAACATTTTTTATTATTATTTTTGTGGGAGGATTAGGACAGAAGGAAATGAGAACCTAACGAATGAAGTACTAACTTGGGCCAAAATGTTCAGCTGGACAAATTTCCTGTCTCTGGCAGATGCCAGTAATTCATGATTAGGGCAGGAGTAGCAGGACAAAACAAATGTGGTGATCCTTCCCCCATTATCTTCTCCCGGATATTACAGATTTCTCCTGGAAATTATGGTTTCCCTAAGCAGTAGGTTTGTTGCTGTTGTTTAATAAGCCCTGAAGATACACACACACACACACACACACACAGAGTAAATTTGTCTAACTCATTTTCAAACCCACTTGTGCTTTGGTGTCTGCATCGTCTGTAGCGATGACTTCTGCTGCAGTGTGGGAAAAGTGCTGTGTCTTACTTAACTTTTAAGTCTATGACCTGATGATTCTGTGTGTTGCCTCCTATTTCTTGTGCCACGAGAAATAACAAATGGTCTTTCCAATTTCACTGTCTCTGTACTGAAGCCTTTCCAATGTTGAATAAAGAGAATAATTGTTTTACACATGATGTTATTCTTAACCTTATTGTCATAAGACAACAAAATACATCCCACGCTCTCACACATGTCAACTTCTATAGAAACAGTGCTGCTTATCCCTGTGTTGGTGTACACAGTTTTTGCCTCAGGTTCTCTGTGTGATCCCCTTCTCTTCCATACTGTCATTGCTCTTGTTTTGCATTTGACTTTTTTCCATTTGTAAATGTAGGGGTTTTTACACTTGCTTTGACTGAATCCCCACTCAGGTCTTTTTTTTGTCTCACTGAGAACATTTAAGTTACTCCTGTGAGGTGCCTAGAAATGTCAGGAGGTGACACCTGTAGCAATCGCTGCAGGTACTTCTCTTTCCACCAGCAGCTGCAGCTAAGGATGGCCAGTGGATTTCCAGGTGCTGGGCAGAACATGGTGGGGGGAGATCTGCCCTTTGATTTCTTCTGGGACCTTCTCATCAGTGACACAGATGCTCATGAAAGAGAGGGAAAATGGCCTCCAGGCCTTCCCTTTGCCTAACTCCTAGGTCTGTGTAAGCTTAAAGCATCCCTGGCTTCAGGGCTTTGCAGCTGAGTAACTTGACTTAAATCGTCATCTTCCAGCAAAATTCCTTGCTTGCATCTCCCCCTCCTCTCAGCTCACTGTGGCTGTGGTCCGTAACTTGGCGTGTGGATTCCTTTGCTAGGTATGCAGAAGAACTGGCTACCACGAGGGTCCTCAAACACAGCTCCGAGTCTGCTAACGGAAAATGTGGAGAAAACCTAGCATGGGCATCCTATGACCAACCAGGTAAGCTTTCTTCTCTTGCTGCCTCACAGACACTGGATAAATGGCTTGTCTCATGTACTTTGGGCTCCGAGCATCTGGTTGCAAGAGTAGTGGTGTTTCCTCCGCTTTGAAAACGGAGCCAGCCCAGCCCAGGCTCCGTGGGGACGGGGAGCAAGGACCACCCATAGGCATGGAGGGGGTCAGGGACTGCCGTGGTGTGCTACGTCCCTTCGGAGGTAAGACTTGGCTCCCTGTGTCCCTGCTGTGCTACTCGTATGTCCATGGGAGGAGAGAAGGAAGCCGTCAATGCCCTGCACTTCACCTTTATCCTTAGTTTGTCCCAGCCAAGGAGAGGGCTGACCGCAGGCCAGCTGTGGTGAGGAAGGTGGAAAAATGCCCATTGCGTGTTACACAGCAGTTCCTCTTTGGGGGGGCAAACGTGGGGCAGGGCGGACACCAAAGTGACAGAGGCTAGTGTGTTAGACATCTAGTCTCTTCTGCTCTGTCAGAAAACGGGCTTTGAGCCTTCTTCCGTGCCTTCACTTTAGAAGACAAAACCTCTCCGTATATTTTCTGATCATAAATGTAACACGTAACTGGCGGCCTTCGGTTTGGATGCCCAAGGAGCTGAGTTTTGGCCGGGCTGAGAGCCTGCGGTGAGCCCTCCGCTGGAGCGATGTTCAGGGCTCATGCCTTAGCCTGCTGAGACAGCAGGTGGGATGTATTAAAAGTGACCACTTGCTTGCTTTATTCCCATCTACCCATGGAATTTCCAGCACAGGGAGACAGCAGATCATTTCTGCAGGCTGGAGGCCCTGTTTGAAGGACCTGGAAATTTCAGTTGAGTTTTAGACCCAGGGACAGCGCTCGGTTCCTCTGCAAGTGCCAACTCTAGTCCCTAATGGGTACTTTTTCATGTTGAAAAAGAAGCCCGGGGTGGAAAAATACAATTTGATCTACTCATATTTGGCATTCTGTCCATCGCAAGAGTCTGAGGCAAGGGTTCAGAGCAGCATGGGAAAACACAGATGTATGGCAAAGTTTGCATAGTGGCTATGACTCACTGACTGAGCTTACTTCTCCCTTCTTGTTTGTGTTAATGGCCTATGCTCCTTCCCCTGAGGTTAAAGTCACAGAATTGCCATTTAGAGAGCTGGAAACAAAACAGATGAATCCTTCCATAAATTATATAATGCCTGTCTTTTTCTGGATCCCATTTGTTTTCTTCAGTGCGCTATTTCCATACATAACTTGCCAGTTTTCAGCAATTTTGTTGCTATTTTTTTATGCACAGGATTGAATGTCTTGCTGAGAAAATTAAGCTGCATCCTCTTTTGTTCTGTAAAACGCTTCGACATTTCCTATGCAGCAGGATCATTCAAAATACCAGAATGAGAAAACTAGCTCTTCAAAGAAAGTTATTCTCTCCTCTGGGCTTAGTCTTCATCTCTGTGGAGTTGGTTCATTCTTCCTTTTTTTCTCATATAGTTCCTTTGGATAGTTAATTTGTACCCTGCTCAATGAGGCTGAAATTTGTATTAAGGCATCCATTCAAGGGCTTAACAAAGGCAGGCAGTGTCTTCCGGTTTCTTTCCCAGATAAAGCAAAACTCAATAAACCTCCAGCATACTCTGTATTCTCTCTAAAAAAAAGTGATGCTATTGTTTATTTTGGCTTTTATTGAGTTCTGTAATAGTGCCAGAAGATCCATTTCTTGTTTCAGAGAAGATTTAAGCTTTCAACTACAAAAGCCTTCTAGTTTGACTCCTCTCCTGGTACAAGAATACCTTGAATTGTATTCAGGATTTGAGAGTTACATAGCCTAAAGCTGTCGCTGGAAATATGTTTATCCCTGTAATCCAAGAAATAGTTGACAGCTGTTTCCTCCCTCCAGTCCTGCAGGAACTGCTCCGTGGCAGACTTCTCTTTGTCTGTGTTCAAATAAGTGAGCTGTCATCTGCCACTAATGCGAGAGACCGCAGCCTGCCTTGGCAGCTGTAGTATGTCAGGCTTCTCGGGATGCCTCATCTCATTTCTCATGTGTCCGGAGGCTGAAGGCAAGCGCTGGATGACTGAATTCTGGTTGGGATGGCTGGTGTGGTCGTGAAAACGTGCCGCGTTGCCTGTGAAAACACTGCAGCTTGTCAACTCGGGAGAGTTCGTAAGGGAAATTCACTCTCTGTTATCACCCAAATCTGTTATGGGGGGAACCTGGGTCTGCCTACAGATGGGGACTAGTGGGCAGAGCGGCACAGCCACCCTCTGCCCCAGCCCTGGAGGAGCACGCTCTGCCTTGATGCCTCCCTTGCTGTCTAACACCAGGCTTATACAGTACTGGTAAATAAAGTCAAATAAAATAAGGACCTATATGAGGAACACTGGAAGTAGAGGATTACTTCCTGAAACCTTTAGTACGACTTCAACCTAGGTAGATATTTTATTTCTGAGGCAAATTTAAATCTACCTCTATCCTCTTTCCCCTCAGACTGGTGGAAGGAAGGTTGTGATAACAAAAGCTAGACAAACATTTGAGGAGAGTTCTGAGGTTTGGGGTACTTAGTTTTCAAGTAGATCACCATGGTGCTGCCCATCCTTGCACAGAAATATGTCCTGTGTGTTTTTATTAGAACGTTTTTAGCAACTTACTCAGTGGGATTACTTGAAGATTTAAGGATTCTTTGGTATGAGGAGAAACAGTAAGGCTGGGTCCGGAGAAATTAAATGCTGGGGGAGCTGAATACAGTAGTAGGGCTGCCATAGCCTTGTGTTGCCAGTAGTAAGGCTGAGAATGTATTCCCAGGCTTGCGCACACATACACGGCATGTACATGTATGTGTATATGTGCAGGTGGCCACACAGATCAGCACAAACAGATGCCGTCAACATTAAAATGAACACCATCAGTGGCCTCATCCTGTTCCCCTTTTTGGCTGATCGCAGTGAAGTATGTTACTGGAATATATGTATAAAAATAAAATAATATAACATAATATATGCATATAAAATATGTATTTCCCAGTAATGGATTTTTAAAAATAGATATAATTTGTATTTTTATAGCATTAAATTATATATATATATATATATCTATCAGTAATGGAAATAAAATTCCAGTGTGGGTCCCTCCAGCAGCTGAGCTCAGACACTCAGTCCACCCAGTAGCTGCCCCTGGATGCCAGTCTCCCCAGTTGCTGGCACCTGGACGTACCAACCCCTGAGGCTGCACTCCCACTCCAGCCGCCACTACAGTGCGTCTTGCACACAGGCACATGCAGGTCCCTGGCCGTCAGCCAGGACCCCCCCTTGTCTCTGCGGTGGCCGTACACTTCTGTAGCGATTCCTCCCAGACCACTTCGCCTGCTCGCCAGCTGGTCCAGCTTGCGTTTTGCTAGTACTCGCACCCACACTGGTCCTCCAGTTGCCGGCATCGCAGACACCCAGGTCCCTGCAACCCTTGGTGTGATACCCGTTGTTGGCACTCACCCCCACCCGCCCACATCCACAGAGAACAGAGCTCCTCACCCAGGAAAATAGTTAGAAATGAAATTTAATGAGGCAACAGGACAACTGATGAGATGCAGAGCATGGCCAGGCAAGAGCAGCGACACCTGTTTACATGCAGTGGCCCCTTATTCTCTCTCTGTCCTTCAGAGAGTCGTGTCAGCAGAAGAACTTTACACCAGGACTGTTAGTCCTGTGTATGGACTGACCTCACACGGTCAAGCCTCTGACGATATGAGGCAGCTTGAGGCACAGTCAGCGTGGCCACGTTACTAGCTCATAGCTTCGGTAAATAAAATCAAATCAGTATGCTGATTCGGGACCTGGTCTGGGGCAGAACTATGCTTGGACACTAATTCAAGGATTGTTGCATGAAATTTTTATGCGATGTAGATGTGTTCAGAGAGTCACGGTACTGATGAAACTCATTAGAGCAACATTCAGCCTCTTCTGTCTGAAATGAACACCTAGTAAGTCCAACCGAGCAGGTCATCAGTCAGCTATCGCTAGGAGAAGGGTGGAGTCAAACTATGTTTCCAAAGAGAAAGTGTTGAAATTAAGAATGTGGTTTACAGCTTTGCAAACAGGAAGGGTATGTTCAAAAAACCAGCAGTACGCTAATTGGGTCTGCAAGTGGAGCAACAGGAGGGAAGCTGCAGTGCTGACTGTAGGACGGATCTGCATGCTTTTTGATAGACGTAAAATTCTATCATTTCTGCTATAATAGGGAATGAGGGGTGAGAGCGAGATTTCTTTTCTGTGTTCTTTCTTTCCGATTGAAATGCATTTTGAACAGCAACCAACCCCTGTTTTGGGGGAGCTTTGGGGGAGTGGGAGCTGTTTTCAATGAAACATTGAAATGCAAGGGAAACAGACGCTAAATATAACTGCATCACTTGTTCCGTAATAATTTGAAATGGAAATACTGTGGTCAGTTCTCTGGACCAGCAAGTCTGAGGATGCAAGTTGCTGCTAAAGCAGGTAGGCTCGGTGCTCTGCTGACCCCTCTGCTGTTCTCTCTCTGGAAGCCCGGGGTCACTGGGCTCAAACCAGAGTTTTTGCTTAGTCCCCTGTGTATCAGCTGTCGCTTTCAACATTGGTTTGGCGTGTGTCCCACCACTGCATTGTTTACTGCTCCCCAAGGGGCAAAGAATCAGAAGAAAAGTATTCAGAGGTAAGAGAGGGTGTTTAATCACTAGGTACCCACCTGTCTTCTCACATGGTAATAACTTCCACATAGGACCCCCTCACCTTCTGCGGCATATGACAGATAAAATTCATTCCCTTCACTTCCAGGACACTTCTTTAACATGAGTTCAAGACAGACCCTGTCAAAAGTTGCCTAGTCCTTTGGTCACCTTCTCTTTTGCTGAGAACAAGTTAGTCTTTAATTTCTCACAGCCTATGATGTGATGACTCTTTTAATTCAAGGAGGATGACAGCAATGCCATATAATGATAGCCTGATCCTGCACATGAAAAATGGAGCATAGCTATCAGCTTCTAGGCTTTCACTGCCTGGCTGCAATAAGTTGCAAGCTTTCATCCACGAAGGCTGGGAATTAACATGTCATAGATTGTGCTACCCAGCTATGCTCGTTGTCTTTCATGTACAGGACTGAAGTTTTCTTACCCGATGCCGTTGCCATCTCCCTTGAATTAAAGAGTTACCAAATTTTCACATGATGGTATTCTTTAAATTAAAAAAAAAAAAAAAATTACGAAGAGATACTGTGTTTGTCAAAGCTTCTGTGTGTCCTGCAATATTTCCATTATGGAGATTTTAAGTTCTTGTCACATGGAGCCTAGTTACACTTAGAGCTACAGTAAGCAGAGTGGGGATGACTTTCTCTTGAGCTACTCTTTACGCTGTATCACACTGATACCTTGACAGAGGGAATGAAGTGCTGGTAGCAGTGGGAAATGCAGTCCTACATCTGTAAAAATGCTACTTACATACTATAGTCACTTAAGCACTTGTATACATAAAATACATGTGCTTCATAAGGCCTGATATGTCTGCAGTCACATTTTGTACTTCTGTTCCACCCGGCTTACCACAAACATATCTAAATCCTTCATAGCTTTGAAGTCTGGGGTGGGACAGGATGATCTTCTTGTTTTGTTTTATTTGGGTTTTTTTACTATGTGCTTTTTCTTTTCCCTCAGTATTGCATAAAGATGGCTCTTTACACTTTTTTTCAGTCTTCATTTTAGCTTTAGTGTGAGTAACAAATGAGCAGATATTTACTTGTGTTACAGACTTCAGCCCTAAAAGAGGTCTACAGGGTTTGTTGTTTGGCGCAGGGAAAGGAGGAACCTACTGTTATTCCTGAAACATTTACTTTGGGAAGCAAGAGAGGGTTTTCTACTTTTTTTATGTAGAAAACGTAAATTGACTCTACTAAGAGAGCACTATTCCTAACAAGCAGTGTGGCATAGATAAGTTCATAGTACTTTCGGTCCACAAACCTCTCAAGAGATGGCATTTCATTCAATATTTTCTTTTCAATGACAGCTCTGACAGCCAGCTTGCCAGGCTAACAACGCCATCCTTTTAGCAGACTGCACTCATAAGAAACTGAAGTTTAAAGAAGTTAACGCAGTGTCTGACTTCTACAACAGTGCAAGCTTAAGACTTTTTGCTGCAAAATAGCAAAACATGAGTCATTGCTGTTCTGCAGCCAACAGTCCACCAGGGACCCGCGTTCTTCATGGCGGTAGGCTTAACAGCATTGGCAGCTTGCTATGAAATCAACCGGCCTTGCGTTATACATCCTGGAATGCTAAGCAGAAATTTCATTATTGATGTAGCTCAGGGAAAAACCTGCCCCTTTCCCCCCCTCCCAGTGTCTGACACAAGAATTTCCTAACAACCAGTAACGGAGAGAAGTAACATTTGCCTTTTGGGTGCAGAGCATCTGCAAGTTCTGGTCTGAGCTTCTGCCCTCTGTGCTGCCTGTTCCACAGGACCCACTGCAGATTATCAGAATCTGCTCCTTTCTGTCAGGTTCCCTAACTGTTCAACAGGAAACAAGGAAGGATTATTTCTTTGGCAAACATCAACCTTGGAGACCCACAGACATGTAGTGCTACATCACTGGCTATAGTCACAGTCATTATACAGCTCTGGTCAGTAAAAGCCTTTGATGAGACGAGACAGTGCTGGACACAAGGATTTCCACACAGTAGCTGCTCCTAGGAATGTATATTTGAGGTGTCTGACTGGAGTACCCCAAGTTAGAGTGCCTCAAAGGGGACATTCACAATGGCTCAAGTGCTAAGTAAGAACCACTGAAAATAAATGCACTCAGAAATTTGAAGTATTAAATGCTGATGAGAACATGGAAAAATAGAGGATGTCAGAAGTGTCATTTTTCTTTGGGTTGCTTGGAGCTGCAAGGGGATGTCTTCATATACCTGCATCCACAGGTGGGAGGCCTCCCTGTAGAAAAGGTCCCTGTGCCCTTTTGCTCAGAAAAATCTGGCAAGGCTCACTTAAGTCTTTTCAAACCTGTTCCAAGACGGAGGAGCTGGTGAAAGCTGTATGTAGCAGCCTAATGACAGGAGCACTCATCCAGGATGAGGGAGATGTGTCTTCGCTACCTTCCAGGCTGAAAGTTACAGAAGGTTCTGGGCAGAAAAAAATGTAAGCTCAACGTGTTAAATTGCCAGATGGTTTCTTTGAGGACATTTCTTTGAGGACTAAAGGGATTTCTGCCCCCATCTCGATCCAAATGCTGTGCCACACAGATAGATCTCTCTTGTCCAAAGGTTTTTCTAACTTCAACCTTTTAAATTTTTAACAGCAGACAAGAATTGGTGGATGGTCCTGTTCCCTGATCTGTTGGTGGTAGTATAGTACTCTTCGTCAGCTCTGTCCTACCAGGCAAGCACCTTGCTGCAGAGATCTTCCCTGAAAGGGACGAACTCTACTTGGTTCTACAGCTGTTTTGTGGGTTGCCTGTCCAGGCTTTGAGCCAGGCTGTGCTGGCCATGGCCCCGTACTCCAGTGGAGAAACCGATCGACTGTGTTTGCGTCGAGCAGAACTCAAGTCATTGATGGCATGAGATGCTTAACAAAAAGCATTGGACTAATCAGTAAGTTAGTAAATTAGTAAGTTAGTAAATTAGGAAGAGGGGCTGGAAAGCTGCCTTGTGGAAAAGGACCTGGGGGTGCTGGTTGACAGCCGGATGAATATGAGCCAGCAGTGTGCCCAGGTGGCCAAGAAGGCCAATGGCATCCTGGCCTGTATCAGAAATAGTGCGGCCAGCAGGAGCTGGGAGGTGATCGTCCCCTGTACTGGGCACTGGTGAGGCCGCACCTTGAGTCCTGTGTTCAGTTTTGGGCCCCTCACTACAGGAAAGACATGGAGGTGCTGGAGCTTGTCCAGAGAAGGGCAACGAAGCTGGTGAAGGGTCTAGAGCCCAAGTCTTACGAGGAGCGGCTGAGGGACCTGGGGCTGTTTAGTCTGGAGAAAAGGAGGCTGAGGGGAGACCTGATCGCTCGCTACAACTACCTGAAAGGGGGTTGTAGCGAGGTGGGGCTTGGTCTCTTTTCCCAAGTAACAAGTGATAGGACAAGAGGAAATGGCCTCAAGTTGCACCAGGGGGGGTTAGATTGGATATTACAGAAAATTTCTTCACCGAAAGGGCTGTCAAGCATTGGAACAGGCTGCCCAGGGAAGTGGTTGAGTCACCATCCCTGGAGGTATTTAAAAGACGTGTAGACGTGGTGTTTAGGGACATGGTTTAGTGGTGGACTTGGCAGTGTTAAGCTAACAGTTGGACTTGATGATCTTAAAGGTCTTTTCCAACCTAAATGATTCTATGATTCTATGATAACTGAGTAGCAATAGCTATTGCAAAACCAAAGAGATTTGGTAAATAACATGTACTACATTTCAAAAACTCTTTTCAGTAAAAAGGCTGTTTCTCCATGTTTCTAGACGTTCTTGCCAGCTATTAACAGAAGATCTTGCTGGCCAGGCTGTAAGTGAGCTACACTTCTGTGTTTATGTCATGATTCCACAGCAGATTTCTTTTGTCTTTCAGGAAAGGATGTGGCTGACAGATGGTACAGTGAAATAAAAAATTACAGCTTTCAAAACCCAGGGTTTTCTTCTGGGACAGGTAAGTTCAGATTGGGCACTGTCTCTTCAAAACCGCAGCTTTTATTTTAAGAAATTGGCTAGCCAACTTGTTTGATATTTTTCAAAAATCTACCTTTTTTCTTAGAAAAAAAATTTAGGAGGGAAAAGAATTTAGAATTTCCCCCAAGTTTTATATTAGAAACTGACAGAAGGATAAAAGGAAACTGAAAAATGAGGAAGTAAGCAAAATCTGTGGGGTTTCTTTATACTGTATTTTTCTTCCAACTACAAAGTTTTTAAAAGGCAACTTATTTTTAAGGCAAATTAATTTGTAGAAAATACTAAACTGGAATCATATAGGTGTCTTACTAAGTGTACTATCCTGTTGTTTACATTGACATGTGACTTCTACCAAATTATATCAGTCCAATCAATCACAGAGATCACTTCAGATATAATTTGCGGATCAGGAACAGGCCATTGACTGCATATTGGCAATCTGGTGTTGAATGAACCTAAGAACATTGTTCCTTGAATAATGCTCAAGCGGGAGATATGCCTGAGCTTGTTTCAGATGAGGAAAATCACGTTTTTCTCCCGTGAGATTTGTCTATGCATAGAGGGAACAACTGACAGAGCAGCACAGTGCAGGGGTGGCTATTACAACTATGCAGAAAAAGCCACAAAACCAGTATTAGTTTGAACAGTTGCACATGCAGACACATGGGGGAGTACGAGATGGTTAAAGCAACTAAATAATAGTCACTGTCAGGACTGCTGTTCATACTGCAGGGAGTAAAGACCGTGATGTCTTTGTCAAGTTTTATATCAGATACTTATCAAACTACTTCTTTCATGATTCTTCTACTAGGTATTCTTATTTGGATATAGGACATGGAAATGGCAATAGTAGTGCGGAACCAGATCAGATCAGGCTTTTTCAAGACAAGATGCTAGATGTAGGGGGTTTTTTTTTCATGTCCTTAGCTTGTTCTCCTGTTAAAGAAACAGTTTTGTATTGTTCTTTCTTTCCCCTACCCTCACGTGTTAAAGGGAATGTTACAGATTTAGTACCTAGAATGAATGCATATGTTTCTCTTTCTTCAGGTCACTTCACAGCAATGGTTTGGAAGAATACAAAAAAGATGGGAGTCGGAAAAGCATCTGCTAGTGATGGCTCAACATTTGTGGTGGCTAGATATGATCCAGCTGGAAATGTAGTAAATCCAGGCTATTATGAAGAAAATGTCCTTCCTCCAAGAAAATAACTTTTTTTTTTTTTTTAAGGTAGCCTTATTGCCGAATGACAGGTGAACCTGGATTTGGACTTAACAGTGTTTGAAATGAAGTACAATTCAATGAAATTTCCTGTTTGATACTGCTGTTCACTTCTCATTACAGAGGAAGCAATTACATGTTGCTTGAGTCAATATGCACATTAGGTCCCTGTTATTTCTGAGGGGGCTTCAGTTTATTTGAGGACAAAGTATATGCAGCATTTCTGAAGGGTAAAATTTATAAGGGTTTTTTTTAATAGTTTGCATGAACTCTGTGTCAGCATGTGACTAAGCACATGTTGGAAGTCTTTTTTTAAACATGCAAATTTATCGCTTTCTGTAAACTGAAAATACCAGCTTGTAATTATATCATGTACTCCCAATTTTCCAGTATTTTTTAATAACTGTAACTTCTTTGCTCTATCTATATCTCCTACTACTGGGGCCTTCTCTCTGCAGATGGAACATATGCAAAACTGCCCATATGAAAGGTACATGTGTAAAATGTAGTGGCATTCAGACCTATGGGTTTTTATTAAGAGGATCTCACGGAACACTAAAATGTTGCTGGCAAAATTGTATCTGTCAAGCAAGCCATAACTAACGCATGACCTGAAAGCTACTAAAATTGTTTAAATCCCAGCGTTACATTTTAGGTGCTAATATTTAAAATCTCTTTGAGATGAGTGTATTTCAAGTTCAAACCCCATCTTACAGTTTACAGTATGTACATTGTCTTACAATCAATTGTTTACTTCTGTTACAGGAAAGTAAGATACTACTTTTCCTCTTAGATATTTATGCACAAAAATTTTCTTTGATGGAGCACGTTGGATTTTTTTTCTCAATAACTTATTTTTTTTTCCTAAGGACTATCTTCTGCAGGTGTCATGCTATACAGACAATGACATTCCCAAATAATCTCTTGTCTCTAATAATGTCACAGTAAGAGGTATTCACATGGTCATAATTAAAAGATGTTTAGTCTTTGTTCATATTATTCAATAATAGTAAAAGTATTTCACATGCTGGATTGATGCCTTGAAAAAACTCAGATTGAATTTCCTTAAAAACAAGCAAGCAAAATTTCTGAGGACACTTTTTTCTCTTACGAAATGTGGATTGGGCCATTTTGGCCAGGTATACTGTGATTCAATTTGGGGTTTTCTTTTCTTTGTAAATGTTTTTTTTGACTTCTGCTGAGATTCTGTATGCCAGAATTTGGTTCATGAAGAGTGCCATTACGGAAATACTTCTTCTTGTTTACACAGTTGTAATAAACTACACTGTTATGGCTTGATTATATGTTGCTGTGATGCTGTATGTTAAAATCTTTTTTCTGTAACCAAGAATTTAACGCATATAATGGACATCTGAAAATTAAATATTTTTGATTATGAATTACTCAAGCTTTTGCTGTTAACCTGTGTCTTTGTTGAATAATCTTCAAATTTTATTTCTAGGTTATTAACATATGACATTATTACTTTTGCAACATGGACCAAATAAGAGCAGCAAGTATTCTAGTCCAGGAAAGGAAGACGAGACCTTCTAAGAAGCGATAAATCACACAGCAGATCGTTCGTCACCCCTTTATACAAAGGTTGAGGTAACACTTGAAGCCGAAGCTGAAGAGGCGTACCTCTTTCTCCCTTAAACTCCTGCTTTGTATCTCATTTCATTTTTGCTGTTCCCTCTCTCGGCTGACGTGTTCTCAGTAAAGATACCCACTCGACTCCCACTCAGACATGTGTGTTTCAGTAACTGCAGTCTTGGGGCCTTCCTCTCTTCAACCCTCAGCTGACAAATGTTGCAGCTCCAAACAGGCTAATGTTTTATGTGCAACACATTATCATCCCTGAGAATGAAAACAGGACTTTCTAAAAAAAATAGACCTGCTGCAACTGACGTAAAGGTAAAAGCTGATGTTAAATAAATTAACGGTATTAAAATATTCCGGTTTTTCTTAATGACGTTGCTGCTGTTGGCTCTATAATTCCTTGAATGGTTTGTGTAAAACCATATATATCCTAGTTGAGTGAGTCAAGTCAGAAGTTTTCTCTGCTGCCACCTAGGTTTTATTTTAATGTCAGAGAGAACTGGGAAGGTAGGTAAAGAGAGGACAAAACAAAGCAAAGCTTGTCATTATTTAAAATGGTAGTGGCGAGTCAACTTCCAAAGCTATTTAGACAGAGCATTTTGAGGAGGCATCAGAGGTAATCAGACATGGAAGAAGCACAAAGCCACTCAAATAGACTCAGTGCATGCTTCATGCACCCCACAGAGAGTCCATGCAAGTAAGCACGATTGTAACAGTTAGAAAAAACCCTGTCAATTTAATTCTTTGTGACCCAAGATCACGATGTTGATGCCTTCTGCAAATGAACTCTGGCTGCACAGTAAACCGTGGTGTACGTAGGAGTCCAAATGCAAAGGGAAGGGCAACACTGCTGATGTGACTCACTCAACAGCCATATGGTTCTGGGGAAGTGTACACTGGAACCTGACTTACCAGCCATCTATATTAAAAGACTCTGTGTAGGTGTATTGCTCCACTCTCTGCCACATCTTGGAGAGTTGTGGAGATGGGGAGGTGGCACAGAAAGGTTATCTCTTGTCATGTTAGAGCAGAACAAGGTGTTTACGAGCTTTCTCAGCCAGGGTTGTACACACAGAAGTCACATTTACCCTGGGAATAAAGAAAAGGCTGATCTGACAGCTCTGATACCAGAGAAAAATACCTGTCTTTAGAGGCCTGCAGATGATTTCTAAGGTCTTTTTGCAGCAGCAGGAGGAGGAGGAATTCTAGCTGGTCTAAGGCTTCATTTCCAGTCTTCTGGGTTAAATAATAACAAAGCACTTAGGGAAGAACTGGGACTGGTCTTTAAAAAGTGCTAAAAAGGGAAGGGAAGCCTGCATCACGCATTTTAATTTGCCAACTTCCTTCCTTTGTCTTCCCAAAAGGACAAACCCCAGGCAATTCCTCCTCCAGAAAGTGGAAGGTGACATTGAGAAGTGGTAGAAGTACTGTTAGAAGAACACAGATCAGACAGAAAGCCACATCATCACATGAACAATAATAAGCCCAAGGGCGAAAAAGATGCCAGCACTCAGTGGAAGTTTTGCAAATTGTACTTGGAAGTGCCATGCTTTTTGGGAGCTTAGCCACTTTACTTGTTTCCAGCTTTAATTTTTCAGGAGGATTTGCCTCCAACGAAGTGGTTGACTTGATTGGCTGGACTGCAAAGAAGTCATGTTAGGCTGGTGGACTGCTTGACCTTCAGGCTTCTGCAGTGTCATATATGCCCTAAGAATGTTTTTAGCTTTTGTGGGTATCTCTGATTTGGATAACCTACTTTTTCTCTGTGTAATTCAGTACTTAAAGACCCCTTTCCATGTGACTAGTGTTAACACTAATTTGAGCTGTCTTTTCAGCATCTGTTTTCTTAAGTTCCTACAACGTCCAAGCAGCCGATTGCAAAAAAAGCCAGGTATGACTTCAGCTGAGGTAGCAGCTTAAGAAAACAAAGCTTTTAAGAAAACTAAGTGCTCCCTGGCGTTTAGTTTGCCCCTGTGGTGATGGTTGTTTTGATCTATATTAGGAAGCCCAGAACACGGTGATGTGAACAAAGCCACAGACCGTCCGGATCTGTTGATTACAAACACCGATAGTGCTGGTCTTGTGGTCGCGGTACACGCCAGTGCCACGTCTTCTCTCCCCCAGAGGCTTTGTGAGGGAAAGGCTATGTGTAAGATGGCAACTGGAGGCTGTTTGATCCCAAGCAGAGTGGAAAAGGGGCTTGAGACGGCACAAAGCAAGCCGGTGAGCCAAAGCCACCTCCCTCCCTTTTTGAAGCCGGCACTAAAAATCTCAGAAAACTGCATTTCTGGCGAGAACACAGGAGGAAGACAGGGATAGGCTGCTTCAGTTGTTACATGGTAGGAAAGTGAAATTTGAAAATGACCTCGATATTTCTGTCTCCTTTACACAACCTAAAGACCAAAAAAACCTCTCTGCACATCCAGCCACAGTGAGCTGTTGCATCCTTCTGCTGCCTTTCCCAAACCATACCATAAGGAGATGGTGAGACTGGGTTTTCATGCCTTTCAGCTCTCTGCCTCTCTGGGGGACATCACAGGTTGATTTCTGTACACCAGACTGTGGAATTTCACTTCTTGTGGCAGGAACACAAAACAGGATTTGCACTAGGCCTGGGCTTTCCTATATGATCAGCTTGAAGCAAGTCACCGTCCAGAAAATAATCTGCTTTTTCAAGCTGCTAAAGCAGCCCTTTGTGAAAGGTACTAAATGCTGAAAGCCAAGGAGGGCCTGAAATTCTCTGGCAGTGCCCGGGTTCAGCCTTCTCTTCCCTGTCTTCTGGAGGCATGCTCTGATGGAGGGTGCCCCTGCCCCTCTCCAAGGATGAGTGCCACCCCTGTGCTCCCACATGCCCCAAAGAGCAGTCTGGGGGCTGAGCGGTCCCCTCTTTCCTGTGCTTTTCCCCATACACTTCATAGTTCCTCTGTTCCTTCACGGAGAGTAGAGCCTTCTAGCTGAGTTTACCCTTGCACCACCTAGCAGCAACTCTAAATCTGCCTTGCAAGGTTCCTCTTTTGAGCTGGTTTACTTTTACTTTCTTGAGCAGTGCTGTCAGGGCCCGACCTACCATATCCTCTGATAAGAAGTTTTACATTCTCTGCTTTTGCTCAAGCATTAATTCCTCTGTCTGTCCCAGCTTGTCTGCGAGGACGGTGAGCAAGACAGGATTGCAAGAGTCTTGTCATCGATGCAACAAAATGCTGTCGGCTTTCGGTTATGCCAGGTGAACTGGAAAGAAATAACACAGATAAAAGCAGACATGGCTTGCATGGACAACATGCAGACTAGGATCTGAGCAACCTAGGAAAAGCTGTAAGGAGGTTTGCAGAGAGCAAGAGGACATTAAAGCACGGCCAGGAGGCAGAGCCAGCTAATCTGCAATGCCCAGGGCAGCCTGCCTGGGCAAAGCTGTGCTGAGACATCATCAAAATCCAGAATCAGGGTTCATATCATGAAAGGCTGGGAACTTTCAGAACAACTTCTCCCCTACCCATCAGCTCTGGGGTGCTCACTGACGTGTCAGGAGGGAAGTCTAGCTGGTTGTCCATTTTTTGGAGATAGTCATGAAGGCCCCTTTTCCCTCAGCTGTGTCCGTAGGGCTCCAGTCTCCCTTTTCTCCCCTCCCATGTCAAGTTAGCAGAGAGAGCTGGAGCACTTGGGAAACCCAGTCTCTGGTCCCACGCCTGATACTCCTGCTGCAAGGCCTGTAAAGCCCAGGGGTAGGATATCGCAGGCTCACAACAACAGATGCTGAGGCATTAAATAGCCCCTTTTTTCCTTAAGGCAGGCACAGCTGTAAAATACGGTTAACGCAGCATGTGCTGGGAAAGAAGCAACAGCGGCGATTGCTCTGCCGTCACGCACACGGGGTCTCTGACAGGTTTCCGTCAGGGTCTTTCCTCCACTTCTGCTTCACTCCAGATGCTTCCTCAGACACATAATTTGTCTTTTTTTTTTGATGATCACCTGCCAAAACCTTTTGAAGGGATGACCGCTTACATTTTAACCCATACCCCCACCCCCAACCCCCCTAATTTGGCTTGAACACCAACCTCGGGCGTGCCGCCCGCTTGAGGTTTTTGCCCTTCCCGTGAATGATCCCAAAATCCCAGGGGAAAGCCGTTTTTTTCCCGGGAATCCCGGTTGCCACCAGCCCCCGGCCCAGCGTGCGGCAGGTGGCAGCGTCGCTCTGCACTTCGGGCAGCGGGGCTGGCACCCCAATAGCCTTGGCTTCTGGGGGGGGGATTTTGGGGGGGACCCCCAGTTTCTGCCCTGCCCTGACATCTATGCCACCTTAGGTTTGGCTCTCGGTGTGATTTTGAATGTTCTTCGTCCCACGGCTCGATGATCGGATGCGTCAAAAACAATCACAGCATCCAGTGGAATAAAGACAGGCTGGGGTTGGGTTGGTTTTTGGTTTTTGGGTTTGTTTTTTTTTTCTGCATGAATTTGGCTGAAAGTGTAATTTGGAAGGGGTTTAGCTGAGTCCATACAAATACAGAGTGAGGCAAAATGATGGGAACGGTGAGTGGATCTATATTCTGTACCATCCTTTCTCGGTGAGCCCAGAGTCTTACACCTACAGCTGCCTCAAACACTGCAGCTTCGGGGCTGCTGCCCTACCTGTACCTGCATCCAAAGTTCACATTAAACACCGACTCCAGAAAACAAAGTAATAACAAGGAAATTTATGATGAGAAAAGCTTGCATTTATTAAAGTGTCCTGGCTGATACAGTTCTCAATGTTGTTTTGTAGTGCTG